ATAACTTTAAAAAGCGAAATAGTTGGTGTACTTGGGTGTATGAGAATGCCTATGGCATTGTTTAATGAAGACTGGCGGAGATGGTCAAGGCAAAATCAGCACCCGACTCGAACATTATTCAACCCAATTACTGCAGTGTACATGGTGTAGGTTTGTGTATAAAGGATCAGGACTGGTAGATATTAGGGCTGGGACGAGTCCAAATTTACTACGCGACCCTCTATTACCCTACCCCACCCGGGTATCCGCTGTAGGTATGACATTTTACTGGAGTCCTGGTGAAAGCTGCTTAGATACACGCACAAAACAATCTGATCATGCAGACAATGAAGTTGACAGAAGCTATATCTTTCCTCAAACAGAAGGAATGTGTGCATGAACAGAAAGAAATGCAAACATAAAGCGACTTGCTGTGTAACCATGGCTTTTGACTGTTATCATCATTAAACATTTTTTTACATGACTAACCCTTGGATAATATCAGGAAATACGGAGGTGACCCAAGGATAATATCAGGAAATACGGAGGTGACCCTAGGATAATATCAGGAAATACGGAGGTGACCCTAGGATAATATCCGGAAATATGGAGGTGGTCCTAGGATAATATCCGGAAATATGGAGGTGGTCCTAGGATAATATCCGGAAATATGGAGGTGGTCCTAGGATAATATCCGGAAATATGGAGGTGGTACTAGGATAATATCCGGAAATATGGAGGTGGTCCTAGGATAATATCCGGAAACATTATTTTACATGACTAACCATGGGTCCGGGAAATCATGTGTGTGTACCCTGGTCATAATCAGGACCCACTTGACCCGAGTACCCAAGTTACCCAGCCCTGCCCAACCCTAGTAGTAGTAGATATATCAGCGACCGGTAGATTTCAGATTCATTAACATTATACAGTTATTATAAATAACAGAGTTGCCTCCACGTTCTAGTAACACAGGCCGGTAGGTGGCGTGTTGCACGGGGCTGTCACACTCTGAATGCATGGCTTTCCATATTCACCCTACGAGATATACAATGATCGAAAACTGGACAATGAGAACTGAATTATTATTTTTCTATCAAATATTCCAGGGCATTTGTCAGAAGAGACAAATACTTACTGAAACTAAACTTGATGTCCTAAGAATGCATACTGGACCCTTTGCTTGAACAGCAATATCAACTTACACACCCGTTTAAATGAGACTGTATTGCCAAGTCTGGAAGCCATGATGACCAAGGGACATAACTCTTGACATACTTCGTCTTCGCTTTGGGATTTGGGTGTATGAGTGAGTTGGCGTCGATATTTTCGTCGTCGCATGCTGCTGGCCTACGGGCTCTAGGGTCACTTTGCACAGTACTTTTTTTAAGTGGGTATGCACAGCTTTTTTTCAATAAATATTTGACATATATAGTCAATTAATTGTTAAATCTATATTTCTTGAAACACAGGACCATGTAACAAATAGTAATTAATATAAAAACAGACAAAATCGCCGACGAGGTCGGCCCCACCTGCGAGATTGTTTGTTATTATTATTAGTTACATGTTCCTGTGGTTGAAGGTATGTCACCAAATGATTTATTATATGTTTGTGAATACTGTTCACAATGACTTTTAGAAAGTGGTAAAATGTAACTAATGTTATATGTGGGATAACACTTTCATAGTACACATTCTAGTACTTTTGTGGGTAGAATCTAGGGCTGGTACGGGTAACTCGGGTACTCGGGTTGGGTGGGTACTGAGAGACCCGGGTACCCACAGGACTACCCTGACCCGTGGCTATTCATGTGATATATTGTTTAATGACAAAAATGACGTACAACTGTATATGGTTACACTACAAGTCACTGATGTTCGCATTTCTTTCAGACTATGGACCCATTCCTTCTGACTTTTTGTTTGAATAAAGATAAAACTTCAGTCAACCTCCGTGTATGCGTGACCAGATCGTTTTATACGTATATCTTAATATATTTTTCCAGAGCTACGGTCAAACTATCCCCAATCAGACATTTCGTACCCATCTCTTGAACCTGAAGCGGGTACCCGGGTAGGGTCGGGTAATAGAGGGGATAGGTACCCGGGTAGTATATTTGGACTCGTCCCAGCCCTAGTTGAATCCATTCAGGGATTCGAACGCACACCTAGGCATCTAATCGCCAGCACACAAAGTCAGTGATCAAACCCACCCCACAAGGCTTCCGACAACTGGTGGTGTAGATCACGTGATCAAATTTTGTGTTGGCCTACCCATCTGATAAGTGTAAATTGGCGCGGCTCCTAAGGCCGAAAGCTATGAATACACAATGCCTTTCAGAAAGTGTTAGAATGTAACAAATGTTATCAGATGGGTACAAAAAAGAACGTGATCTAAACTACCAGTTGTCGGACTTCCTGATATTATCCTTGGGCCACCTCCATATTTCCTGATATTATACTAGGACCACCTCCGTATTTCCTGATATAATCCTTGGGTCACCTCCATATTTCCTGATATTATGCTAGGGCCACCTCCGTATTTCCTGATATTATCCCTGGGCCACCTCCATATTTCCTGATATTATACTAGGACCACCTCCGTATTTCCTGATATTATCCTTGGGTCACCTCCATATTTCCTGATATTATCCTTGGGCCACCTCCATATTTCCTGATATTATCCTAGGGCCACCTCCATATTTCCTGATATTATACTAGGACCACCTCCATATTTCCTGATATTATCCTTGGGCCACCTCCATATTTCCTGATATTATCCTTGGGCCACCTCCATATTTCCTGATATTATGCTAGGGTCACTTCCATATTTCCTGATATTATACTAGGACCACCTCCGTATTTCCTGATATTATCCTAGGACCACCTCCATATTCCCTGATATTATCCTTGGGTCACCTCCATATTCCCTGATATTATCCTTGGGTCACCTCCATATTCCCTGATATTATCCTTGGGTCACCTCCATATTTCCTGATATTATACTAGCACCACCTCCATATTTCCTGATATCATACTAGGACCACCTCCATATTTCCTGATATTATCCTGGGGGATAATGTAACACTATCTTGCAACCTTTATGTCAGGTCAGTTATTTTCCTATACTTTGTATATTGATAGGCAGGATAAGTAACTGGTGCCCAAACATCCGACTACAATAACAACCGATTGGCAACAGTGTGCGGCTTGCCTTATCGTAACACAACTGTCGTGGGTCGTTGCTTGTGTTATCATTGGTTTACCTGGCCTTGAGTGAAATATTTACATATGTGAGAATTATTGCTGAATGTTAATTGCGTAAAATGTGTTTTTACTCTCAAATAAATATGTTGTCGGACGCTTAGACAAGCGAAACTTTTCATCACGTCAAGTGGGATTTTATGAGTGTTTTTTTTATAAAAAAATGCACACGTCCAGGACAGGCTTGGTCATGGCCAAGTTCAAAGATGAGGTAACCACACACGTAAATTCACCGCGTTTTTCACTACACCTGGCCTAAATACGACAAGACCCGTGAAGATCATGGGTAGAATAGGTCTTCAGCAACCTAGCTTGCCGTAAAAGGCGACTATGCTTGTTGTAAGAGGCGTTTAACGGGATCGGGTGGTCAGTCTCGCTGACTTGGTTGATGCATGTCATATTGTCCCAATTGCGTAGATCGTTGCTCATCATGTCAATCATTAGATTGTCTGGTCTAAACTCGATTATTTACAGACCGCCGTCATATAGCTGGAATACTGCTGAATGCGGCGTTAAACGACAAACAAATACGTCAAAGGGTGCACGCATACACTGTGGGAGGAAAGCCCGAAATGATGCAGGTCTCAGACGTTTGCCACTTCGGTGAAACCAACAAGCACGGGTATGGTGCTGATAAACCTAGAAACATAACCGGGGTGAACCGGGATTTGAACCCACAATCATAGAATTCTGGCGTGCTCCCTGCTTGTAGTAAGAGGCGACGAACGGGATCGCATGGTCAGGCTCGCTGACTTGGTTGATGCATGTCATCGTATCCCAGTTTCGTGAATCGATGCTTATGACATCAATCACTGGGTTATCTGGTCCAGACTCCATTCTTTACAAACCGCCGTCATATGGCTGGAATATTGCTGAGTGCGGCGTTAAACAACAAACAAACAAACAAACAAACAAACAAACAAACTATTAAAACAATTGTATGCGTGTCGTCGGGTCAAATGTGACACGCCATATCATACTTAGAGGTAAAAAATAACTGTGAGGTGAGGTGAAATGGGGTTTAACGTTGCGTCCAAGATTATTGCACTTATATAGCGACGTGCATGTACGTGTGTGTGTTTGTGTGTGTTCTTGTACTAGTCCGGACTGATACCGATTTATAGTGCTAGCTCACTGAGATACCATGCCGCAGCTTAACATGAATATCCCACTCAGACACAGTATACTGACTCCGAGCCGACCAGTCCTTGTTTTAGCCTCTTCATGCCGAGCACCAGACAGGGTAACAACAAGTACCATCTATTAACGTCTTTTGGTATGACGCGGCCCGGGATCGAACCCCGGACCTTCCGCTTTCCGGGCGGACGCTCTACCACTAGACCACGGAGGCGGTAAAACTATGATGATATAAATTGACTGATAACAAATATGTGTGATGATATGGACTGAAACTGCCGGGCAGAAGAAAATATACATTTGAAAATTGGATTTGATAAAAATCCAGCAGCAATCTTTCAGCTATACGCGACGCCATATTGCTTACGAAGCGAGCCACGGTATTAATTGCAGTCTTGTGAGTTTCCGCAACAGTCTTTGAGAAAAACTTCAAAGAGTTAATTAAAGTTGTGGTTCTATTTTTCAAAAAAATATATATAGATTTTTATTCTTCCTTCCAACAAAACATCACATGGTCTGTCGCACATGGTAATTAAATAATCGACATCGGTATCCGCTTCGTTTCTTGTGATATCCCGGAATGCAACATTAACACACAAAACTCACACCCAGAACACTCATATTTCTGTCGTTTATTTACAGTAGAGGTTGCTACTCCTCTATCAATATCAAACTTTTATACTTCACGGAATAAAATTATGAATACAATAACACACATTCCATTCGTGACCACTCGTGTGAGTCCGGGACAAGCTGAAACATTCGTCACCACTCGCCTCTTTCCGTAACCTGCAAGAAGACTCGTCCCCCAAACGATGAATGTTATGCGAGAAAATACGACAAACCAATCAGAATACGTGTATGACTGCAAGTACCTCGGTCAAAGAATCCCTCAGGAATATTTATTTGAATTCTCATATCTCTTTCATCTGAAAATATACCCAAGATACAGTTAAATGTGTTCAATCATACACTATAATACCCGATATGTTCTGAATAGCATCTGGAATATATATCATGTATGGAGGAAATATATGTGAATCATACGCATCGAGTTGACAATTATTTTAGCTATGCCCGTTTGCGCTGAGACGGAATCCAGTCTTAGAATTGGCCACGAGAGAGGCTCTAGTCGCTATTCGGCTTCTCCCGGAATAGCACGAGTTGTCACGAATGAAGCCGAAAGGGACGAATGTTTACGAATGTGGAACAGGTCGCATCTGTATGTATGTACTGTTGAGTATTAATACAGCTTGGCATGGCAAGGAATGGTGTAAGGCAGATTTCAGGTGTCAAGACACGATTCTGCAATATGAGAAATAAGTTTGTTATGGTGGAGATTGGACACAGCTCGAGAGAGCAGGCTACCTGTTGCTATAGTTTGCTGGCGAAATGGTGAGTGAAGGAGTAAATGATGTTTTAATCCGCAGTCACCATTCATGGCGGTCTGTCAGTAAGCAAGTCTCGAACAGGCGGACCAGCGGTTGACAGCTTGAGCAGCGGCCTGCGCTATCACAAGAATGATTACTGGGTTCCTGTCTTGCCCCGGAAACGTGACAAGAATGATTACTGTGGGTCCATTCTGCGCTTCATTACCCGAAGCGGGGCAGGAATGGTTGCTGGGGGTCTGTCTTGCCCCGGAATGTCCCAAAGGAGTCAAACATGATTGCTTGGGGTCTATCTTGTCCCCGAATGTCCCAAAGGAGACAAACATGATTGCTGGGGGTCTGTCTTGTCCCGGAATATTCCAAAGGAGACAAACATGATTGCTGGGGACTATCTTGTCCCGGAATGTCCCAAAGGAGACAAACATGATTGCTTGGGGTCTATCTTGTCCCGGAATATTCCAAAGGAGACAGCAATAATTACTGGGGTCTATCTTGTCCCGGTATATCCCAATAGAGACAGGCATGATTGCTGGGGGCGTATTTGCCCCGAAATATCCCAAAGCACAGGAATAACTATTGCAGGCCTATTCTGCCCCGAAATATACCAGAGGAGACAAGAATGCTTCATGGGGGCCTGTCTTGCCCCGAAATATCCCAAAGGGGACAAGCATGATTACTGGGGAGGCCTATATTGCCCCGCAATGTCCTAAAGGAGACAGGATTGATTAATGGGGGCCCATTCTGATATGGAATCCCCACAGAGAGCTGTGGAAATAAGTCTGGTTGTTACAAATTAAGCTACTGTTCACATATACATGTACTGCCGAGGTGTTTTCCTGCAGAACCCGGACAAAAGACACAAAACTCTGATCGTTCAAATATGCACAGAGGTGATACACAATAGTTAGGAGTTAAATCCAACGTTATCGTAACAGTCATCCGACGTTCGCCTTACAAACTTCACATATCGCTGAGAATTTCCGTCGTCGATGTTGTCAGCAGTCGCTACACAGTTGCCGTCCTCTTTCTTAATCTCCGCCTGGCACGTTTCCACAAAGACGTCCTCTGTTGAACACGTTTCCACAAAGACGCTGTCGCACATGGTGGAGTCTTGCGCACTTTCTTTCTTAACCGGCGTGTTGCACGGCGTGGGTTGAGGAGATGGGTAGACTTCTAGCTTACCATGTTTTCTGTAACTAATATAAAAATAATATTTTTAACAAAAATATTATTTCACATTTTTGCATTCGACTAATTCGGTTTCGAATATTTCTAACGAACATTACTAACGATTTTGCCTACACGACGACAGTGGGCAATGCGACTTCGCTGCGCGGGAATTGGACAAATCTAGGTGCACACAAAACATTGACGTCATGATAAGTGGCGCTTGTCAATGAATGAGGAATTGACGTATTACGGTATACTGGTTTTACGCCGCTTTTAGCAATATTTCTGAATATCACAGCTGGGGACACCAGAAATGGGCTTCACACCTTATACCCATGTGGGGAATCGAACCCGGGTCTTCGGCGTGACGAGCGAACGCTTTAACCACAAGGCTACCCTACCCCTGAAATGGGATTAAACGCCGCTTTAAAGATTACAGCACTAATATAGCGACGTGCTTCTGTGTGCTTGTACTAGAACTAGCTAACTGAGATAGCGCCCTACTCGGACACAGTATATATGGACTCCGAGCCGACCAGTCTCTTTTTAATCCCGGCCCTTATTAAATGACGGGCGCCGGGCAGGTTAACCACAAGTACCGGTATGGCGACGCCTGGGACGATATGAATAGCCAATGATGAGCAATGAATCACCATCGTATCTGTCTGGACATATCTCCAAATATCAACATCGTCCCATATTAGAACTGTCCGGTTAGAGTGGGTCGAGATCTCTGCTCTCAGTTTCAAGTGGACCAGAGCCACTTCCGGTTTTGGTATGACACGCGAGTCCTGTGGTGTTAACGCGAGTAGGCGGAGTGAAGGCCATGTTCTCACAGTACACTGACTCATACATACAGCAACACTGGAAAGATAATACTCCGCAATAAGTACCGTGCTAAAGTCGTCTGATTCACTTACAGCTTTCTTCCTGGTTAAAGGTCATGGTAAACTGAACGATTTTTGTTGAGGCATAGTTTAATCGCCCTTATATAAAGCAGTCGTCCGCCTCAGTGGTCTAGTCTCAGAGCGTCCGCCCGGAGAGCGGAAGGTCCGTGGTTCGATCCCCGACCGCGTCATACCAAAAGACGTTAAAAGATGGTACTTGTTGTTACCCTGGCTGGCACTCGGCATTAAGGGGCTGGGCGTCACGTTATTTATGTTAAATTGTTGCATGGTATCTCAAGGGGTACTACTATAAAATCGGCGTTAGTCTGGACTAGTACACACACACACACACACACACACACACACACACACACACACACACACACACACACACACACACACACACACGTGCATGCACGTCGCTATATAAGTGCAATAATCTTGAACGCGACGTTGACCCAAGTTTCACCTCACCTTATAAAAGCAGTATGTCCAAGTGTATGATCCATATTTAATCGTTGAATCCTAACTATGTCATCGAATCAATTATGCGTGGTTTTGAAGGGGTGACTACAGTAGTGCCACCGTCAAGTGCCTAATTTCAAACAGGACTAGGCATCAATGCAATGCGAAACTGAGACTGTGTTTTTATGAAATAAGATCTTTCAATGTCATTATTTACAGATTAAATTTTTTTAAATGCAGCAAAGAGGGTTTGGGTGATCCTGGCACAGTCAGGCTGGTTAGGCTCATCATCAGCTCAGGGCCCTTGCCCCCTCTACACGCAGCCAAGACAGCGAATGGGATTTCTCCCAGGAAGCCCTGCCTTGTCAAACCGACCGAGAACTTTTTGAAGTATGTGAAGACTCCCCAATACTTCAGCCTTCTGCATTACCCATATTGTCAGAAGGGCTGTATTCCTGGTAAAACCCGCGTACTCTCCCAATGTCAGTCAACAGATTCGGATGTACCAAACCTAAGGCGCCGAGAACAATGGGGACTCAGACATTTTGGTACTTGGGATGCAAGCGTGACATTTCGAAAGCGAGGTCCGCATATTTGCCATGTTTTTCCTGAATATTGTCAATCACATTAGTGTCTTTGGCTTTTCTTGCCTTCTGATTATTCCATCCACGATGAAACTATCCGAAGACACCCAACGACTCTAACTAGCTCTCCCGTCAGCGATGTCAACCACAACTACGTGAGTCTCCTTTCATTAGTATCACACTCACACCATGCCCATCACACAGGCAGGGGAACACCCTCACAGGAACACCGCCACACATGACTGGGGCAGTGTGTTGTGGAGACTCACCTTTTACACAGGCTGAGGAACACCCTCACGGGGAACAGCGCCACACACGGCTGGAGCAGTGTGTTGTGGGGACTCGCCTTGTATACAGGCAGAGGAACACCATCACCAGGAACACCGCCACACAGGACTGGGGCAGTGTGTTGTGGGGACTCACCTTTTACACAGGCTGAGGAACACCATCACCAGGAACACCGCCACACATGACTGGAGCAGTGTGTTGTGGGGACTCACCTTTTACACAGGCAGAGGAACACCATCACCAGGAACACCGCCACACATGACTGGAGCAGTGTGTTGTGGGGACTCACCTTTTACACAGGCAGAGGAACACCCTCACGGGGAACACCGCCACACACGGCTGGAGCAGTGTGTTGTGGGGACTCACCTTTTACACAGGCAGATGTACGCTATCACGAGGAACACTGCCACAAACCCGGCAGCGACGGCCAGAATGATGTCTATCTGATGTGCGACTGGAAAATTAAATAACACATATATAGAAGAGTAAAGTTCATTACATCTGGGTATGTGTGTCACATGTAATGAGCATGCATACCCCATGGAGAAAATCCGCGGGCAGAACGGGGGGTGGGGGGGGTGGGGGGGGGGGGGGGGGGCGGTGTAGTGATGCCCTCTTTGAAGCATACGCGCCTATTAAAAAACATCCAAATCTTTGGTAGATTTGTTTCCAACAAAAATGACAAACTAACAAACTCAAATTGTTTCGAGAAGTATTTACTTTTGAGCCTGGGCCAAGCAGACCTGTGTTTATAGCACGTGCAGCGAACCACACCGTCAGAAAACAATGAGACACATGCTGACGTTTATAATATTGTAGCCACGAGAGTCGTCTTATAGTAAGGTACACTGACCTCTCCACAGTGGTGGGGTGGTGATATGAGGTGAAATGGGTTCTGATGTCACGTTCTAGGTTATTGCACTATTTAACGACGTGCACGCATGTGTGTGTGTGTGTGTGTGTGTGTGTGTGTGTGTGTGTTGTGTGGCTGTTAGACTACTCCGGCCTAATGTCGAATTTATAGCGTTGGCCCACTGAGGTACCATGCCGCAGTTTAACATGAATACCCCACTCAAACACAGTAAACTGACTTCGAGTCGACCATACCTTGTTTAAGACCCTTAATGCCGAGCGCCAGACCCATCTTTTAAGTCCCATCCTTTCACGTATTTTGGTATGACGCGGCCGGGGATCGAACTACTGACCTTCCGCTCTCCGTGCGGACGCTCTACCACTTGACCACGGGGGCGGTCTCTCTCCACAGTGAATGTTACTTTAACTAATACGGTACGTCGAGGGCCAACAAGAAAACCGAAGATATCTCTGATCATGTGTGTCAGCGTCCTCTCTAGTTCATGTTCCCCGCGGGGATTCCGGCTTAGCACTGGCCCCCAGAAACGTTACGTACGAGACAACTAAATGGATCACATGGTCAGACTCGGTGACTTGGTTGATACCCCTAAGGGATGGATCGTTGCTCCTGATATCAACCACAGGTTTGTCTGATTCAGGCAGAATTATATACAGGCCGGCGTCATAACGTTGGGGGTTGTGAGGTAGCCTAGTGGTTAAAGCGTTCGCTCGACACGCCGGAAGCCCGGGTTCGTTTCCCACATGGGTACGATGTGTGAATTGCTGGTTTCCCCCGCCGTGATATTACTGGAATATTGCTAAAAGCGGCGTAAAACCATACTCACTCATGTATTCATAAAGTTGGAGTGCGGCTTACAGTGTCCATTATTTATGTGCATGGCGCTACGTTGTTACTACCTCTGTGTTTGAATCAGTGTGCACTCAAATGACATTCTCATGTCAGCACCATACCTGTGCTCGTGGGTTTCACTGAAGTGGTAAACGTCTGAAATCTGCATCACTTCGGGTTTTCCTCCCACATTAAGCTGACACGCCGCGATGTAACTGGAATACTGTTAAAAGCGGCGTTAAACCCAACTCAACCACCCACCCAAACATGGGAAGTTTACAAGTAAGCTGGGTTGTAACAGTCCATACTCGTGAAGATCCGGGGTAGAATAGGTCTTCAGCAACCCCTGCTTGCCGTAAAAGGCGACTATGCTTGTAGTAAGAGGCGACTAACGGTCCTCGCCGTCGGAACACAAAATTTACCATACACACTGCGACCACCCGAGTCTCATTCCCGTCTACTCTTACGACAGTCATCATGTAATTGGGACCTATATTCGTCCCCTGGGGTGTGGTAGAATAAATATTTTTAAATAACACCACGGCATGTCAGTTTAAGGTAGCAACACACCAGACTGGGATGAAAGCTACGAATACGGGAATGTTGCCGTCAAACCAAAAAACAGCGATCATTGGAATGTGGCGCGACCAAGGGAGGTAACTCTGCAAAGTGAATTGTGTAACTAAGAGTCTGTAAACTCCTGGGTCTGGTGGATAGAGCGTCTGCCCAGAGCGCGAAAGGACGTGGGTTCGATGCCCGACCGACAAACAAAAAAAGACATGAATAGATGGTACTTGTTGTTACCCTGCCTGGTGCCCAGTGAACTCTGCACAGTGAATTGCGTAACTAAGACGACAAGGTCTCATATACTTGTATCTATACTCAACTTCGCAATACTCACCTTCAGAGGGCCTGATACGACGGACATTGCCGTTGGACGGGGTGGTACAATTCCAACACAGAGAAGAGTTGTCGGCAGGGTCTATTGTATTCTCTAAGAAAAGTGAAAAAAATGTTTTATCATTATGTCCATGACGGTTCTCAAAGTGTGGTTGGCAAGGCAACCTCTGACTGTGCAGCCAGTGGCAAGTAGGCCAATCAAAGATGTGCAAGTGTTCAACGAAGTGTAATTCAGTGATTCAGGTACAAACTGAATTTATCACGCAATTTAGTACATACATGTAGTGAAGACGCTTTTGGTCATCCTTATTGGCTCACAAAGCTTTGTGTACGAGTAAAGTGCACGTACATTATTCTAACAAACCCTTGAGTATGTGTAAAGTGCACGTATATTGTCCTGACAAAGCCTTGAGTACGTGTAAAGTGCAAATATATTGTCCCGACAAAGCCTTGAGTACGTGTAAAGTGCACGTATATTATCCTGACAAAGCCTTGAGTACGTGTAAAGTGCAAATATATTGTCCTGACAAAGCCTTGAGTACGTGTAAAGTGCAAATATATTGTCCTGACAAAGCCTTGAGTACGTGTAAAGGGCACGTATATTGTCCTGACAAAGCCTTGAGTACGTGTAAAGTGCAAATATTGTCCTGACAAAGCCTTGAGTACGTGTAAAGTGCAAATATATTGTCCCGACAAAGCCTTGAGTACGTGTAAAGTGCACGTATATTATCCTGACAAAGCCTTGAGTACGTGTAAAGTGCAAATATATTGTCCTGACAAAGCCTTGAGTACGTGTAAAGTGCAAATATATTGTCCTGACAAAGCCTTGAGTACGTGTAAAGGGCACGTATATTGTCCTGACAAAGCCTTGAGTACGTGTAAAGTGCAAATATTGTCCTGACAAAGCCTTGAGTACGTGTAAAGTGCAAATATATTGTCCCGACAAAGCCTTGAGTACGTGTAAAGTGCACGTATATTGTCCTGACAAAGCCTTGAGTACGTGTAAAGTGCAAATATATTGTCCCGACAAAGCCTTGAGTACGTGTAAAGTGCAAATACATTGTCCTGACAAAGCCTTGAGTACGTGTAAAGGGCACGTATATTGTCCTGACAAAGCCTTGAGTACGTGTAAAGTGCAAATACATTGTCCTGACAAAGCCTTGAGTACGTGTAAAGTGCAAATATATTGTCCTGATAAACCCTTGAGTACGTGTAAAGTGCAGTACACAGTGCGGCGGTTTTGTGCAAACGGACACTGAGTCAACTGAGTCCTGCTAGTTCAGATATATGAGGACGTGCGAGGGAAATATGAAGATTTAACTTTTTAAGAGGTCAAAGTAACCTGCCTTCTTCCTGTCCACTATCTGTAAATGCTGAGGTTGTAGGGTATTGAGTTATCAGTGTTGTGACGGACCCCGTCCATCTGCAGTTGATGTAAACTCCACTCTCATCTGTCGCTGAAGGCCGCGTATGAAGCAGAACGTTCAGAGAAGATCATCATTGTCAGAATCACACAGTGAAACACATCTAAAGCCTGCATCAATACTAGATCTGTATTCTTTCAAAGTCACATTATCATTTGTCTGTGTTATCAAACAGCACAAAAACAGAATACCGTTGTCATTTATCAAACGATCTCAATAATAAGTCTTTGTAAGGCATTTAGAAGTGATACACATAAGGAAGAGAATTTATGGATGTCAACTTCTTTGTTATGAAGAACACAACGTTTCGGAGTATATGCTTACGCCTTCATCAGGTGAATGAATGCTATGATGTTGTTGTTGTTGCATTAAGAGTTTAAGAGGTCGCCTTCTGCCTAAGCAATTTCGGCTGACCTGTCCCTCTTTGGGGCTCATGTGTGAGTAGGGTACACATATCTATTGTGGGTTTGGTATTCACAGAGTTTCTGTTTTTGTATTGATATGATTTCTATTTTCATATATTGATATGATTTCGCATTTTTATCCTTGGCCGCTCTGTTTATAAATGCTATGATGCAGAGAACATATATATGTACATGTAAGAACAACAAAGGTAATAAGGTAACGAAAGGTGGAGACTTAACAAGGGAAGCCAACAGATAATTTGCGCTGACAGGTGATTAGCAATAGACAATGGAAGCCAACGCTTTACAGTATTTAGCGCTGATATGGACAACGGGAAGCCAGGACTAAATTATCACTGATTGGTAATTGGCAATGGACAATGGGCAAACGGGAGGCCGGGGGAAATTTGCCTCTGCCTCATAGCATTCATTCACCCGATGAAGGGTTAAGCACATACTCCGAAACGTTGTGTTCCTCATAATAAAAAAAGTTGACATCCATAAATTCTCTTCCCTAATATGAATAACGTCATTCATACATCACATGCAGATGACACATGAATACACATAAACAATCATTAAAGGTCGTGAGTGAGTGAGTATGGTTTTACGCCGCTTTTAGCAATATTCCAGCAATATCACGGGGGAAAAAACCACAAATGGGCTTCACACATTGTACCCATGTCGGGAATCGAACCCGGGTCTTCGGCATGACGTGCGAACGCTTTAACCACTAGGCTACCCTACCGCCCCATCCTTAAAGGTAATAGACACGGGTCAACACATTGTAAATGTATTTTAAGGTCACTGAGAGCATGTATTTTAAGTTCAATGTGGAATAAGCAACGTCATCTTTTGTAAAATGAAATAATATACTTCTATGTATGTAAATATGACTACTGTTCCGACGTCACACACACTTATCACATGCAATTCAATCAACAAAAATAAACGCTGGGCAAACATGGCGCCGGGAACGTTAATACGCCTACAACAAGTTTTTCTGATATACGGTGAACAAGTCCCAAAGGAATATCAGCTTGCAACAATCGCTCGTGTTTGTCTCTATCCTTCCATTCATTGATATTAATCTTTACCTGTAATATTTAGCCAGTCTTTCACAGGCTCATGGAGTGTTTTGTCCGGCGCCATCATGACTGTGACGTTGTGCGTGCAGCCATCATACACCTCATTCACTCGGTATTGTATCACACACGAGCTGTTGTCCATAGAAAACAGAGAACTCCGGGGTATTCGACAGTCACGGAGCTGCTCGAGAGCTTCTACGCTTTGTGCTTTCATATTGACGCAACCTTTGAATGGCTGAGTATAAAGGTTACACTGACACGTGACGTCATTAATCTGAGGATCGAGGCCCTTGATGTCGTGGAAAAGGTGGATGTGCTTTCGAATCATGATGTTTTTCCTGCACATGTTGACTCTGGTAGTTTTAGCTGGAAGAGATAACAGCCTATGTCACTTTCAAAATATTGATCTGACGTCATGTTCGCAGTTGACGGCGCCAGTGGCAGCCACGATGACGATGACAGTGATGATGGCTGTGAAGTGATTATTATATCATAATGATAACAGTGTCGACACCTATATGGCATGTACTGCTGTTAACTGTTATATACAACATATACTGCTGTTAACTGTTATAAACAAAATATACTGCTGTTAACTGTTATATACGACATGAACTGCTGTTAACTGTTATATACAACATGAACTGCTGTTAACTGTCAAAAACAACATATACTGCTGTTAACTGTTATATACAACATATACTGCTGTTAACTATTATATACGATATGAACTGCTGTTAACTGTTATATACAACATGAACTGCTGTCTACTGTTATATACAACATATACTGCTGTTAACTATTTATATACAACATGTGCTGTTGTTAACTGTTATATACAACATATACTGCTGTTAACTGTTATGTACAACATATACTGTTGTTAACTGTTATATACAACATGTACTGCTGCTGACTTATATACAACATATAGTGCTGTTAACTATAATATACAACATTTACTGCTGTTAACTGTTATATACAACATGTGCTGCTGTTAACTTTTAAAATACAACATATACTGTTGTTAACTGTTCTAGACAACATGTGCTGCTGTTTACTGTTATATACAACATGTACTGCTGTAAACTGTACATACAACATATACTGCTTTTGACTGTTATATACAACATATACTGCTTTTAATTGTTATATACAACATGTACTGCTGTCTACTGTTATATACAACTTGTACTGCTGTCTACTGTTATATACAACATGTGCTGCTGTTAACTGTTATATACAACATGTGCTGCTGTTAACTTTTAAAATACAACATATACTGTTGTTAACTGTTCTAGACAACATGTGCTGCTGTTTACTGTTATATACAACATGTACTGCTGTAAACTGTACATACAACATATACTGCTTTTGACTGTTATATACAACATATACTGCTTTTAATTGTTATATACAACATATACTGCTGTCTACTGTTATATACAACATGTACTGCTGTCTACTGTTATATACAACATGTGCTGCTGTTAACTGTTATATACAACATGTGCTGCTGTTAACTATTATATACAACATATACTGTTGTTAACTGTTCTAGACAACATATACTGCTGTTAACTGTTATATACAACATATAGTGCTGTTAACTATTATATACAACATGTACTGCTGTCTACTGTTATATACAACATGTACTGCTGCTGACTGTTATATACAACATATACTGCTGTTTACTGTTATGCGCAACATGTACTCCTGTTAACTGTTATATACAAGATATACTGCTGTTAACTGTTATATACAACATATACTATTGTTAACTGTTATATACAACATGTGCTGCTGTTAATTGATAAATACAACATGTACTGCTGCTGACTGTTATATACAACATGTGCTGCTGTTAACTGCCATATACAACATGTACTGCTGCTGACTGTTATATACAACATATACTGCTGTTAAAATGTCAAAATAACACGTTCTGATGTGAGCTTTTATAATTATCTTGCACTGAAGCTTACATTTCTACATACAACATAACATATACTGCTTGTAACATTTGTTATAATATGAATTCCTGGCAACCTTTGTCAAAACATGTAATGTTATTAACCTTTGTTATACGATATACTGCTGTAACCTTTGTTATGAGATATACTGCTGGTAACCTTTGTTATAACATACACTACTGTAACCTTTGTTGTATTATAGACTGCTGGTGATCTTGTTTATAACATGTAATGTTATAACCTTTGTTATAACATATACTGCTGTAACCTTGTTATAATATGTACTGCTGTAACCTTTGTTATAATATGTACTGCTGTAACCTTTGTCATAAGATATACTGCTGTAACCTTGTTATAACATGTAATTAACCTTTGTTATAACATGTAATATAATTAACCTTTGTCGTAACATTTACTACTGTAATCGTGTTATAACATAAACTGCTGTAACCTTTGTTATAATATGTACTGTTGTAACCTTTGTTATGACATGTAATGTTATTAACTTTTGTTATAATATGTACTGCTGTAACCTTTGTTATGACATGTAATGTTATTATCCTTTGTTATAATATGTACTGCTGTAACCTTTGTTATGACATGTAATGTTATTAACCTTTGTTATAATATGTACTGCTGTAACCTTTGATATAAGATATACTGCTGTAACCTTTGTAACCACATGTACTGCAGTTGACAAGGCCCCCAGCCACCCCGGAAGTACGACTAACGCCCGCAGTGAGCATCCGTAACCGTGCTACAGGAATAAATATGCCCCAGTTTCCGTTCACATTATCGCGTGTGTATCTTAGACTGTGGACAATCGTATTATTTTGTATTTAAGAAAGAAACGCTTTTCATTTTTAAACTGCATTTTCTAGATAAACAAAATATGTAACACATATGAATATACCATGATCAATAATTGAAACAGTAATTGTCATAAAACTGTTTTCTCGCTGATTGAGTAAAATAAGACTAACATGTAGTCTTTGAAATGAACATATCGTACAGCAAAAACAGTTGCTCAGTTATCTTAATAAAAAATATTATAAAAAGGGAGCCCAGTGATTCTCTTCATTTTCCTGATACTGCGGTAACCTAGACTTGCCAAACATTATAGACTTGCATGGGCTGTAGTTGATATATTTGTAGTGTGTCTCATCTAGCAGGCATTCGTTGGCATGTGTAATTGTTTTTCAACTCAATGGGCTTTTGAAGTGTTTCCAACTCGTTCTGAGTATGTGCGGTGTGCCATAAGCATTTCCATCCACTCGATTTGATTAGAGTTTTTTTAGTGGTCCCCCAAAGCCCGGGACAACCAGCTATTTCGCTCGAAAACTACTTTCTACGAAGTGAAAATAACGCCATTAAGGGCAATATATTAATGCGCCTTTGACCGCTCATTTGCAACCAGAACGCTAGAGCAACTCATCAAACTAAATTCATTGCCACTTCTATTTGTTTACTGAATTCTACCTATATTCTTTTATTTCTGTTTGATGTGTTTGTTTGTTGTTTAACGCCGCACTCAGCAATATTCCAACTTTTATGATGGCGGTCTGTAAATAATTGAGTTTGAACCAGACAATCCAGTGATTGACATCATGAGCATCGATCCACGCAATGGAATACGATGACATGCATCAACCAAGTCAGCGAGCCTGACCTCCCGATCCCGTTAGTCGCCTTTTACGGCAAGCATTGGTTGCTGAAGACCTATTCTAACCCGGATCTTCACGGGTCGCTGTTTGACATGAATTGTATGTGTACTATGCAAAAGAAGTTAAAGAACACCATATGACTATGGGACATAAGGATATTGTCCTCACAGGTTGTATTGCTGTGAGTATGCTATGTTTCCGAACAGGTCGTTCTGTTTCGTTCCAGTGTGAGAACAGTTCGCGCACACATTGCTTTACTTCGCGGATACATATCTAAAAGCATGCATGTGCGCCACATTTCGACCCCCCTGTGTCATTGGATGCAGGAATTGTTCCAGTGTGATACAGGTGAGTTAGTTATCAGAAAAAATCGTGTTTATAAGTCTTAGGAATAGTGGAAGGAAGAAAATGGCTGAACCCCAAAAAGCAACCTCAGACACTGTGCTTATGTTAAAATCTGAAACTATAATGTCGGACTTTGGTAAAAGTAATGAGTCAAAGCCAGATGTGGAAGAGGTTTTGTTAAAACTAAAAAAACAAAAAGGCAGTGCAAAGACTGCATTTACGAAGGCAAAAAATAAACTCTACAATATGACAGAAAGTAAGGATGTCCCAACTCGAAGGTCTGTTCGAGATCAGATGGATCAGTTGTGCATTGTCCAAGAACAAGCAATGGAAGTAATGCTGATGTTGTCTGAAGAATACTCCAAAAACAATGATATAGCAAATTCTAAAAAGCTTAACATTGAAATAACTAGACTTTATGATGAGACTGAAAGTGCACAGCAACATGCTCAACTGTACTTGGACTGTAGATCAGATGCTAGCTCTGTACTAAGTTTACGAACTGGGATGTCAATGTTGTTCAACCAGAAACAAGAACACAGTAGAAGTCAGAAACAAGATTGTCCTGGAGAACAAGAGAGGCACGTTGAACAGGCTCAGAATGAGTCCATAAAGACTTCTGTAAGAAGTGAACATGAATTAGGTCAACCAAAGATCAGGTTCATGGTTGATAGGTCACATGTTGAACCCAGTACTCTTTCAAATAAACCAGACAAAAGCGCAATAGGACATGACATGTGGAAGCAGTTACAGAGAGTTTCTATTCCAGTGTTTGCAGGTATTGTCAGGTCTTTTTTAATCTGTCATGCCGTAGTCATATGAGAACAAAACGGGTGTTTTCTTTAACATATTTTGATGTTATGACAGATTAACTGTTGACAGATGAAAGAATCTTTAATTTCTTTTGATGCCAGGACAAATTAACCGTAGTCAGAAAAAACAATTGGGTGTTGTTTAATTTCTGTTGATGTCAGGACAAATTAACCATAGTCAGATGAACAAAATTTAGTGTTGTTTAACTTCTTCTGATCATGACAGGCTACCTATAGTCTCATGAAAGAAATTCGTTTGTTTGTTCGTAATTTATTTTCAGTAGCATACGTTGAACGCCTGTGTGAAAGACATCTATTTATCACGTAATTTAGAAATATTTTACTTTTCATGCAATGTGCAAAATATAATGTTTAACCAAGCGCATCAGTGTGAAGTCCGTGCACTTAAACATCAGAAATAGAAATCCGTATTTCTTTATTAAATATATTTATCAAAAGTTTACCTTAAATGATCAAAACACTGAACTCACATCACATTTTGACCGATCTGGAGTTTTAATTCTTAAACAAATTCCAACACTTGCACACTAATAAGAGTACTGCTGCCCGCCACGTTACTTCATACGACAAGGCCAACAAGGAAACGAACGGCGCACCGCCCTGTCGGTAACTTGATGCCAGAGAAATAACAACCGAGTTGAACTTTTCATCAGTGTAGGCATTGGCCCTTATGTAGCAAGGGGCACTTCATGGAACTATATGTGAACTTTGATATGACCCGTCATGAATATAGTGTTTGGAATATTTAACTTCCGATGCTTTGAGCTTTGATGGAAAAAGATTTATTTCTATGTTTTAATTCGCCAGCACGGATAAATATTTTGACTATAAAATGAGTACTGTTTATTAGAAAATAATGACAAATGAATATTTTGACAAAGAAATTAGTTATGTTTGTGTAGTATTCTGAAACACAATATATTTATCATCGACAAAAATATTTGTGTGTTATTCTGTTCTGTAGATTATGAACGAAATACACACATGTCGTGTGTTACGCCTGCGATATCTTTAACGTCTTTCTCCATTACCCAACATGAAGCCAATATGGCTGATTGTGTCTCGTTTTAGATTACAGCGTTGATGTGATATCGATGACAAACTTCTCGGTCTCGGTTTGGTAATAACTCATCACACCAATAATAATAATGATGATGATGATGGTGATGATGATGATGATGATGATGATGATGATGATGATGATAATAATAATAATAATAATAATAATAATAATAATAATATACTCACATATAATGACAGGTAAGCTAATAAATTAACCATTAGATATACCTGGGGCGATACGTTAATAAACTTGAACCATAAACAAGATAAGATTTAAATGGACTGCAGAATATACAAGTTCTCATACATTATCACTAAGTGTCTATGCAAATAATAAATATGTCCAATAATGACTATTAAAAGTGCTATATTTATCTTATTAGTTAATAACTGGCTGACATGTAACTGACCTTAAACACTTTGAAAAACTACACAAAACCATAGAATTGCACATTAAAAAAGCGTCTTTCCAGATCATGGACGACTTTGTGAGAGTAATGAACAACACAAGCGATCACAGTACCCATGGCCGCATGTCTAAAAATGATAAGTACACGGGCTATATTTGTGTTACTGGTTAATAACGAGCTGACATTAAACTTACCTTGAACACTTTGAAAAACTACATAGAACCACAGAATTGCACAGTGAAAGACATGTTTCCCGATCATGGTCGACCTTCCTTGAGAGAAATCACCAACACAAGCGATCACTGTTCCCATGGCCGCTATATCCTGCATACTTTCCGTATTTCATTGTTCTATACTAAACTCTTCCTTTTGGGTGACAAATCATAGTAATTGGGATTATCCGTTTCAGTTTCTGGTCTTTGTGCGACGCCCCTCTAGATACTGTAAGCATAGCTTGTATTCACTGTTTGTGTCATCGTGTTCAGCACAGACCTGCTCGCGGCCCAGTACCTCCGTTAATATGCGTCTTTAAGGAGCTGATGGTGTCATTTCCTTCACCAGTTGCACGGGAGCGTAATGCCAGTATGGCCGTATCAAATTAGCTGGGATATTTATTCAGTCAATATATTGTTTGCTTCCGCCGCAGATCCATCAACTAATGACGTTTTCCATGTTTGTGGTTGTTGACATAAACAGAACAAGTTTCACACAAATGTCAAGGAGGTTATGTCTGTGTTGTGAACATTGAACCAAACTCTGCGAATTCCGGGTTTCTTGTGGTGTTCTTCAATCATAACTTAACTGATTCATACATATCTAGTAATGCATAGCAATAGTAACATGCATGGGTGGGTAGTTTTCAGAAAGGGAATATTTGAAAAAAACAATTATTCCCGAAAAATGCCCTTGTGAATTACAAAATATCGGAGAAATATATGTATGTCATAAAGCGCAGATCGAACCAGTATTCTACAACACACACACACACACACACACACACACACACACACACACACACACACACACACACACACACACACACACACACACACACACACACGGTATTAGTCTCACAGTCACTCATCTCAAAACAACATGCAACTGCTGCAGTAGATTATTGCAGAATGTATGTCAACAGTCAATCCAATATCATAAAACACTCAGCCATGTGTATAGTATAATGCAACATCTCGGCAGGTGACACGGATTCACAGAGTTCATCTTTGTAGTGCTATTTCAAGACTACAACGGGATACAGTGATTTGAAGAAATATACTACTCAATTAAAGAAATAGTATTCGCACAATGATTTCTCACCGAATAGTGAAGTCAATTTGTGATGCAAATGGCCTTTGTCACATTTCCGTTGTTGAAAGAAAGATTAGGTTATGTCAATCCTTTAATCCCACTCATACGTAGGAAAGTACAGTATTCAAATGGTCATTGTTTCATTGTGGATAGGAGAACGTCTGAAAGTTAAAAGGGTAAAGAAAAGGTTTGCTTTGCCTAGAACCTGTGCAGCCGACCATGATCGTGAACGGAGGTTGGTCCGCTGGGGTGCGAACTGGACGGTAGGCCTGTTGTCAATCAAGCGTGTAATTTTGGAGGAAATCACCTCCAGCATGACCATGTATGGAGCCTCTATATCCACTTCCGCTGTATTTTGTTTCAGCCTTTGAAATTGTTAGACAGGACAAAAGTGCAAATAAACCTTATTAGCGCGCCGCTTTCGATGTTGTCAATGTTTTTTTGCATTAACGATGTTACGAGCCATCCATTCTGCAAAGTTGTATATATCCATGAGTCTTGCTCTTCGACAACATTGTGTCGATAAAAACTCTACCGGGACTGTAAAGTTACATAGTCTTAAATGATATAGCAAATCAATGTCCATTTTATGTAAATATATTCGCACAGCACCATGAAAACACTCCATATGCCTACAGAGATTTCAGCCCTTGAAGATCGGGTTACACTGGTCTTCAGCAACCCAAGAGGCGTCTAGCGGGATAGGGCGGTCATACTCGGTGACTTGGTTGATGCATGTCATCGTATTCCAATTGCGTGGATAGATGTTCATGATGTCAGTCACTGGATTGTCTGGTTCAAACTCGATTATTTAAAGAGTGGAATGTTGCTTAGTGTGATGTTAAACAATAAACAAACAAACAAATGACGTAGGTCGGTGCTCATGATATCAATCACCGGATTGTCTCGTCCGCCGTCGTCACATAGATGGAGTATCTCTGAGTGCGGCGTTAAACAACAAAACAAACAAACACGGATTTCCATTTTCACAAACACGTAAGCATGCTTGACGTCCCGGTCAGGAACGATAACTGTATACGTGTATTGTGATCACAGTACCACTGAAGTAAATGTTTGAACCAGGAAGTAAACAACTGGGATTCTGACGCGCCGTGGAGAAGCCGAGAATGACAAAGATGGTCACACCAGTGCTCCTCCTGTTGTCGTCTGCTCTGTTCATCACAGCAAATAAAAATGGTAAGTAATTGTAACATTCATGTACACAGTATACCTTTTCAATGACAGTCGATCTCTGTTTCAAGACAGGCTCTACTTGTCGAAGTGGTTTACTGTGTGTTGTTATACGACTGTCGTGTAACGCTGCAAAAGTACACGCACAATAGGCTGTGGGTAATAGAGAGAACATCGCCTGTGCATAACGCTTGTTTGTTGTTTAACGTCGCACTCTGCAGTAACCCAGCTACATGACAGGAGTGTGTAAAAAATCGAGTTTGGACCAGACAACCCAGTGATAAATATCACGAGCATCAATCTCGTAGCAGCAGCAGCTGCAGCAGTAGTAGTAGTAATAACAGTAGCAGTGGTAGTAGTAGCAGTAGTAGTAGTAGATATTAGTAGCAGTAGCAGCAGTAGTAGTAGCAGTAGTAGTAGCAGTTGTAGCAGTAGCAGCAGTAGTAGTAGCAGCAGTGGTAGTAGTAGTATCAGTATCAATTGTACTAGTAGCAGCAGTAGTTGTAGTAGCAGCAGCAGTAGTAGTAGCAGTAGTAGTAGTAGTAGTAGTAGTAGCAACAGTAGCAGTAGTAGTAGCAGCAGTAGCAGTAGTAGTAGAAGTAGTAGTAGTGTGCCATGAAGATAATTTGTATTCGTTGAATATATACAGTCACTCTTCAAAAAAGGAAACGCACAGGTAGTATGTAGTTCACTGAACCTGACTACACAAAGAATCAGGTATATAAATTGGATTTATGTTATTGGAAAATGTTGGTGGCCTGATATTCGACAAACGGTACGTCAAAAATGCAGCTATTGTCGATTTGCAATGTTTTAAACAACATTGTTTTCACACTTGTTCAAAAATGTCATGGAGGAAAACAGTGACACAAAATGCACGTGCAAGTTATGGCATTCGTAACTCGTGGTAGTGGCTATAAAAAGGCAAGCATAAGCCAACAATTTGTCATTCAATTGTCAACATTTTTCAAGTTCGAAAATGCCGAGACTCAGCGCTGCCGATCGGAGCATTGCCATAGGACGTATCCAAAGAGGGGAATCGCAGTCTTCTGTTGCACGCCACTTCAACGTCCACCACAGCACCATTTGCCGCATTTGTGACCGATACACACAGTTCAATTTCACTGCAGACCATCCGAGAACCGGCCGACTAGGAGTTATCACCCCTGCACAGGATCGCTACATTCGACTGTTCCACCTACGTCATCGCAATGCCACAGCATCCCTGGTTTGATGAGGATATCGGATCAGTATGTCAGGAACCATTTACGCGAGGCCGGAATCTGACCCAGAAGACCAGTTATCGTCCCTGTTTTGCAACAGATTCATCGATAGCGACGCTTGCGTTGGTGCCATACCTAACAGCCTTGGAATTTGGAAACTGGAGACGAGTGTGGTTTAGCGATGAATCAGGATTTCGTCTTCACCGACGAGTTGGAAGACAACGTAGTTTATCGTCGTCGAAATGAGCGTTTTGCCCCACATTGTGTTCGTGAATTCGACAAATTCGGTGGCGGTAGTGTCATGGTGTGGGGGGCAATATCCTACATCACGAGATCTGACTTGGTTGTGGTTCAGGGACATATGACAGCAAATCGCTACATGAATCAAATTCTTCAACCTCACCTTCTTCCAATCATTGACCACCAGAGGGAGCTGTTTCAACAGGACAACGCTCCACCGCACACAGCTCGTGTCGCGGTAGACTACCTACCTAATGCCAACATCAACGATTTGCCCTGGCTGTCGAGATCTCCAGGTCTCAGCCCAATCGAACACCTCTGGGATTAACTCGATCGACGTGTACGTCAACGTCAGAACACGCCGCAGACACCACCACAATTGGCCAACGCATTACAAGCAGAATGACGCAGAATTCCCTGAAAAAATTCGTACACTCATCAAGTCGGTGCCGAAGAGATGCAGAGCCGTGATTGCTTCCCGGGGGGTCAAACGAGATGCTGTGTTCAGCGTAACCTTGTGGCATTATGTGACATGACAATGAACAGTTTTCAATGCCTTTGTACAACGAGTGACTATCGAGCTCCAAAATGTCATATTTGTATCTATGATATTAAATTAAACATATCGACTTTATTAGGTACAATTAATGTACTAAAAATCTACCTGTGCGTTTTTTTGTGAAGAGTGTATACATGCCAGTATGCCCGGGCCTGTTGTTATAGAGAAGAGTTACATATTGCAACACTACTGCATATTGCAACGTATACCAAATGCCACATTATTTTATTAGGCCCCGCTGCGCCATTAACGACACACCTACTATCACAAAAGGCTAATTCAAATGTCAGTTGTGTGTTATGTTATAACCATTGCAGAATATTATGTGCATTATCAATGTTTTTCTGTGTCAGTGGCAGATGATGTGACTCAAACACATTAATCCGGAATTTAACTTTTTTTTATCGATATTTTATAAATTGCAAGACAATGAACAACGAAGCGTGGTTTAACTTCTGAACTGGACGACGTTATTTTTGTGAGTAAGTGTGTAGTGAGTTGTTCCCCATAGATGTAGCAGGGCAACGCAGATGAACGCAATGGCCGAACGATTGCATCCCAAAGTGGGAGAGATATGACAACCAGTATTTGGAGAAAAGGTACAGATAATCGACGTGAAAATTGTGAAAATATCCGGGAAATACCAACTTAACCCCCCTGTTAATAAAATAGGCTTGTCCGACATTGCCGAGATCTGATTGTATTGAGGAAGTCAACATTATTTAACTATGGGTATACATGTTGTAAATGTGTGTACATATTACTAACATTCTTAAAGAGGCTGTTCAAGAGGTTAATATCTCATCTAACTAAACGACTCGTTGTCGTTGTTAATCGTACAGTAAAACACTGCAGGGAGAATAAACCACTGCGTCCTTGTTTCTTAATTAAACTATCTAATATTGTGAGTAAGAATGGTTGTTGGACGTTTCTACGGTTTTGGAAACATTTTCACCTTGATAATTATAAGAGATGTGGCATTTGCTAATATGTGTCTCCAGTAGCTTATTAACCGTCTATTTATTGCATTTTTTCCCTAATTCTGTAGTCGATGTTGCTTTAGTTAAAACTTTAAAAGTTTTTTTTAACGAATAAAGTCTAGTTTTAAGTCTGAACTCACTCGATAAACTTCATAACTGTTGTTTAGAGGATTTCCTAATTTTAAAATTTGAGGGCCTTAAATCGAGTCTGGGCCAAGGCCAAAAGTATCTCTTATCATTTTGTTTTTTAGAATGGCCGTGATACGTGTGGGTGAGTAAAATGCCTTTTCTCTTCTTTTTTTCAGAAATACGTGAAATACATGTGTGTAAATCTACCCCTACACGAGGACGTAAAGTCAATCTCGTTCACTATAAGATGGAAACCCCACGTGGCAGCGTGTGCAGATGCAGCATTACGGCAAATATGGATATCACCATGGAAACGGAACCTGGAAATACATGCAGCGAATGCAGGAAGGACTCCCAAAAAGCGGAACCATGCATTGTCCATTGTGAGATTTCGAAAGACCCAAACGGTCAACGGAAAACTACTATTCAAAACGGCACTAATATCAACATTAATGTGACCAATATTAATGGCACTATAATGAGCTTAAAAGGTAAGACTTGGTGTTACGCAACCGTTATCATTCTGTTGTAGCGACGTTTTTAACATAAAGTTTGAAAATAATGTTGAAGCATAGTCTCCTTTTACGGCAAGCATGGGTTGCTGAAGACATATTCTAACTCGGATCTTCACGGGTCTTATTTCGGTGCAGGTTGTTGATATCAACTGTGGTCATTAAACCCACGAGTTTGGGCCTGCTGCTTGTAAATGCAACCAAGTCTTATAATCAGCTCCGAAGTGGGTTCTGGCACGACCAAGGGAGGCAACTCTGCACAACGAATTGTGGGGTCTTAGCCAACTACCTTTGCCGCCTGTTAGAAATGAACATGGACGAAATAGAACACTATTCTTATTATTTATAGATGAGAAAACATGTTTTATTTGCCTTTCATTTTAAA